TATCATCCGAATTCTGATGAATAGAGCGCGCAGCAGAATCAAACTGGAAATAGGACAGGGACAGTACAGGTTCGTCAAAGACACTGGAACAAGGAACGCGATATTTATGTTCTCATGAATGTTATCCGAATGAGTAATACAAATGCAGAGGGACACGTACCTGTGTTTTAAAGATTACGCAAAGGCGTTCAATAAAGTACGCCGAAAATATTTACTGAAACTGCTCAGCAACCTGCATATGTATTTGGAAGGATATTAGAATAATCAAGAACTTTTCAGTTCGGCAGATATACAAAAATAGAAAGGGATGTAAGACAAGGATCTGTCTCCTCACCGGACTCACTTAACCTATACAGCGAGGATATTCTGAGAGAACTAGAAATCCTACCATGATTCATTATAGGTTGCCAAAATCTAACAACGTAAGTTATGCAGATGACACAGTGTTGATAGTAGACACAGAAAGAAAAGGACAAAACCTCCTACAGAGGTAGTGAAGGAAAGCTAGAAGAAAGGATTAAACATCAACTGCAAGAAAACATAATGCATGGTTATTAGCAAAAGGATGGGCCCAAAGTGCGAATTGCAAATCGGAGATACCAAAATCAAACAAGTGCTAAAAATTTAACTATCTGGGAAGTGTTTTAACAGAGGGCGGAAAGTGTGACGCAGAAATCCGAAGGCGTATTGGGATAGCCAAAAATGCATGACAAAAGCTTAGCAGGGTAATAAGAAAGAGAAATACTTCGCTAGAAACAAAGAAAAGAGTGCTAAACTGCTAGGTGATATCTGTCCTGTATGAAAAAGAGACTTGAAGCAATAGAAATGTGGTTCTACAGGAGGATGCTGATATACCATGAACCGAACATTTGAGCAATGACGGAGTTTTAGAGAAAATGGAAACAAAATGAAAACTTATCCTTAAGATCAGAATGAGGCAGATAAGACTTCTACGGCACATAATGAACAAATTGGAAAATCTGATACTCACAGAACAGATTGAAGGCAAGAAAGACAGAGGAAAACAACGCATAGTCTACCTAGCGAGCTTGTATAAATGGATGGCGGAACAGATTTTAGCAGAAATAACAGAAATGCAAAATTTATTAAGAAATACAAAGGACAGAAAATTGTGGAGAGCCATGACCGCGTTGGTGCTGAGGAAACGCAAAATGTGCATTTTTATTTATTGATTGTTTCGTTTTCTATGGCTTATCAACTCTTTGCAAAGCAAGGCAACAAAGCCACTAAGACGCAAAGGGTTAGTGACTGTTAGAGAATATGAGAAAAATAAATACTCTTAAGGAGAGGGAACAATAAAAAAAAAGAATTAATAAGACAAGATAACAATTGACATTGCATTTAAATTTTTGAAGTTCAAAGTTGACTGGGAAGGAATAATCCGGACGAGAGTTCCATAAGAGAGAAGTGCGATAGAAGAAACTGGTAGCATAGAACTTACGGTTACATTTAGTCATTTCAACTGTAAAATGATGAGACCTTTCCGCCAATCTAGTAATGCTCTTAAATTCTAGGTAGCATAGAAGAAAGTTCATTAGAATAAATTCCATGAAAGTATTTATAGAAAAGATAGAGGGAAGCTACGTTAAGGCGGTGGGCGTGGGGGGGAAGAGTGACTTAAGTCGAGATGTCAGATCAGGACCTATAACATTGCAGATTCTTCGTTGGGTTTTATCAAGAATCTCTAAAAAAATACATAAGTAGTAAATGATGACGTTCTGAATTCGAAGAAAATCTTCATCAAATTTGTTTACATGTTTAATGCACATAGGAAATTTTCCATCTGCAAAATTCCTGTATTGCCTTTTGTTAATTACTGTATCACTATAAATGGAGTATTAATTGTGAATGAAAGTTTATCTGTAAAAATATCCTATTTGTGATATCGTGGATTGTATGAACGATTAATATAAAGATAATTACATTTTACAACTATTTTCAAGCATATGCTTTAACTCTCTGGGTAACTAAATTTTGCCATCTCTTAATGATGTTAATTATCTAGCACAAGATATATATATATATATATATATATATATATATATATATATATATATATATATAGATTATATATAAGATTATATACATATACGATTTATATATATACAAGATAAATATATATAAGATTAAATATATATACAAGATAAATATATATAAGATTAAATATATATATAAATATAAGATATATATATATAAGATTTATATATATATATAAGATATATATATAAGATTATATACATATAAATATAAAATATATATATAAGATTATATACATATAAATATAAAATATATATATAAGATTATATATATATATACGATATATATTTAAGATTATATATATATATATATATATATAAGATATATATTTAAGATTATATATATATATATATAAGATATATATTTAAGATTATATATATATATGTTTATAAGATATATATTTAAGATTATATATATATATATATATGATATATATTTAAGATTACATATATATATAAGATTATATATATATATAAGATTATATATATATATAAGATTATATATATATATAAGATATATATATATATATAAGATTATATACATATAAGATTATATATATATATATATACAAGATATATATATATATAAAATTATATATATATATAAATATAAGATATATATATAAGATTATATATATATAAATATAAAATATATATATAAGATTATATATATATAAGATATACATATATATATATAAGATATATACGATTATATATATATAAGATATATATTTAAGATTATATATATTTATAAGATATATATTTAAGATTATATATATATATATATGATATATATTTAAGATTATATATATATATATATGATATATATTTAAGATTACATATATATATATATAAGATATATATAAGATTATATATAGAAGTTAATGATTTAAATGGCGGGAATACATCTTCGCAAAAAAATTTAATAAAGTACATTAATCCCGAAACTGTATATGAATGTTATCCCTGTTTATAAATTCCAGTTGCATAAGGTCTTTTTTAGTTTTTTACAAGCTTTCATCTGTTCATACAGACATCTTCAGGTATGGAAATAGATTTGGTTTTGTTTTTTACTTCTCGGTAATAACAGGACAACGAAAATATAGATGTAATCCGAAAAAATGTTTTTAGAAATGTGTTATTGTTAATTGTAAGAACAGACGAAAGCTTGTAAAAAACTAAAAAAGACCTTATGCAACTGGAATTTATAAACAGGGATCATAACATTCATCTACAGGTTCGGGGTTAATGTACTTTATTAAATTTGTTTGCGAAGATGTATTCTCGACATTTATATCATTAACTTCTATATCTGTCTTTTGTATGAATGATTCATGTAATATATATATATATAGTCAAATCAAGTTGAAGGCACTCACTGCGTAATTAAGTTTCATGTCTTTATCCTTCTATTTCATTGATCTTCTTGTGCATGCCTGTTGTATTTGTGTTCTTTTTCAATCTCAGCACCTTTCCTACTTAACCATATTTACTCTAAATCCGGCAGCTGATTGCGACATTAGAGATTTTGAGGACTGTGGGAACATTACTGTTATCTTCAGGTCCAACTTGACCAGGGGTTGTAGTACCTGTTAGGGTCCCAGCTATGGGCAAATTGTGACCTCCCAAACAAGAAAAACACCATGAAATTATAAAAATACATATTTCTAGTAAAATTACGACCAATACCTATTCATAGTAAAATTATCAGCAGTAGCTATTTATAGTAAAATTTATAATAAAATTACCAACAATACATCAAGAACTCTTTCATGACATTAATCCATATCATATCCTACAATTTTCTTAAAGAAACCAAACTGTATTCCGCGTCTGTGAGAGGGTGACTGTAGACGAGATGCCAGATCAGGACCAATTATATTACATATCCGCCTCTGGATCTTGTCAAGAACCCCCAGGCAAACAGAAGGTGCACCAGACCATATATGGCAGCAATACTCCATGCAAGGGCGAATGGTTGATTTGTATATTTGAAGTATCGATTCCGGGGAGAAAAATTTCCTGGCGCCTCACAGAGAGCCAACTTTTCTCCGCAGCTAAGGGGTTAATAATTTTTTTACAACCATATTACTTCGCTGACGTCATTATCAAATTTCAAATCTAAATTGTATGTCCATTTAAAAGACTGCATTCACTATAAATATACACATTAAAATACAGGAGTCATAAAATGACTTCAAAAAACAGCACATTTTGACTTGTACTGTTTTCCTTGTGTTGCCAAACAGAAAATGAGTTTTAGCCTATAGCTATACAGATCTCTATTTTAATTGTATTCAAATCATTTACGCATGAATATTTTAATTCAATGACAAATATAAAAATATTTTCAAAAATTAAAATTAAAAAAAATTCTCATTATAAAATCTTATAATTTCCAGATTTTACAAAATCTTTTCTCTTGTTTACAATTTTATAATTTTATTGCTTTGCCCAGAGGAGGGCGTGTCCAGACTTGGGGGGGGGGAGATTGAATTATGCTAGTTTTTTTTTATTTCAAAATCATTCAAATTGCGTGTTTGTGTGTTTGCGTATATATTGAATGTCATAATCGCTTGTAAGTCATTCACATGTAACACATACATATTCGTATACATTATATATGAGCATACAAAGTCACACGCACAGACAATGTATGACGGACAAAAAATCAGCTCTTCTTTTATAATATAGATTTTATTAAGGAAGTTGATATTGTAGCTTGTTTTTGTAGCTAGGTTTTCTAGATATATAGGAGAGTGTGACAGATAGAAAAGTGTGTATAAAGATGAACAAAATGAGATAGATAAATAGATAGAAAATGAATTGATTGATAGATAGATAATGAATTGATGGATAGATAGATAGATAGATAATGAATTGATAGATAGATAACGAAAAATAGATAATGAATTGATAGATAGATAATGAATAGATAGATAGTTAATGAATAGAAAGATATATAGTTAATGAATAGATAATGAATTGATTGATAGATAGATAGATAATGAATCGATTGAGATAGATAGATAGAGAGATAGATAGACAGATAGATAATGAATTGATAGATAGATAGATAGATAGATAGATAATGAATTGATTGATAGATAATGAAAAAATAGATAATGAATTGATAGATAGATAATGAATAGAGAGATATATAGTTAATGAATAGAAAGATATATAGTTAATGAATAGATAGATAATGAATTGATAAATAGATAGATAGATAGATAGATAATGAATTGATAGATAATGAATTGATAGATAGATAGATAGATAGATAGATAGATAGAAAGAAAGAAAGAAAGAAAGAAAGAAAGAAAATGAACTTCTTTTATAATATAAATTTCTAAAAATTGAATCTAATGCGGGCGGACAAACATGGTCGAAAGCCAGAACACAATTTTCATTCCAAACAATAGTTTAATCCGTTTTCAGTGACATTTACTTAGGTTAGCAACAGAAGAAACGGGAAAGTAGGAGAGGGAGAAATTTAGAAGTGACTTTACCAAATGTGACCTTAACATTAACAAGTGATATTGTATTGACATTTTATGCCATTAAAAAAATCGTTCTTTCTAAGGTTGTTTTTCTTCTTTCAATCGTTTTTTTTTCTTTTCCATTTTAAAGAGACGCCATAAATGGTGGCCGTCAATGCTTTAACCGGTAAAACAATGCTTTTTTGTAGACAGTTTTGTACCAGGTGGCACAAATTATAATGATCTAAACAACATCAAATGTCCTGTCTCTTCAACACATAAGATATCATAGCTCTCCAAATCTTCCATTTTTTAAATATCTGCAAACGTTGAATTCCCATAATTGCTATTGGGAAAGACAGTGGAGTGTTTTCCTCATTCCCTTCTAAACATTTCAGAGTTGTTCTCCTCCTGGACTTCGTGTCAAATCACATCTAGTAAGCTCAATTTTCCCTGTAGAAAAAAGAAAAGTTCATGCCTTTACTATACCTCGTTCAGACTTTTACACTTAAGACACGCCATGCTACTTCCACCGAGTCGAATCACCTTAATTTTCCCCGTATTCCATATCACCGTAGTGCTGGGATTATCTCCCCAGGCCGATATTATCAAGGAGTAAGCTTCCTGACAAATCGGCTATTGTGAGGTTCTAACCCGTGTTTAAGGTCGAAATTCTAACGTTCTAATCACATAGTCACCACTTCTTCTTCTTCTTCTTCTTCTTCTTATTATTATTATTATTATTATTATTATTATTAATCGTCTCACCCCAAGCAAAGCAATGAAGCAGAGTTACTGAGTGTTAGACAATACGAGAAATAAAACATTATTAAGGAGACAGAACAATAAAAGAACAGGAATTAAGAAGACAGAAGATAACGATTGAATTTTTGAAAGACAAACTTGACCGAAAAGCAACAAAACGGAAGTGACATCCACAAGCGAGAATTGCGAGAGAAGAAAATGTTACCATAGAACTTACGGTTACGTCTAGCCATTTCAACTGTAATCTACTACTGCGCTTAAATTCATAAAGAGTAGGTACCAAAGAGGGAAGTTCATCAGACAATTAGTATTCAAATATTTATTGAAAAGTCACAGGGAAGCTACGTTATGGCGGTGGGAAAGTGTCTGAAGCAGAGATACAAGGTCAGTCCCAGTAACCTTGCAGATTATGTAATTATGATATCATATTATATATTAATTATATTATATGTATTAATATTATGTAATTACTACGTTATCCAATCAAACTGAAAGTCAGGAAGATGTTCTACTCAAACAGCTTTCCCCCTCTGAAAACAGTACTTTGTGGAACAGACTCCCGTGTGAATGCTTTCCTGAACACCACAACTTTAACCTTTTCAAATCAAGAGTCAATCGTTATCTATTCTCTTTATCCTGATAATACTCACTTTATTCCATCTTTTTCATTCATGACACACATCTTATTTATAATAACTATTTTACCAGTAACAATCTACCTTGGGTGACTCTCGAGGCTTGTACAGGGTGAACATTAATATATAAAAAGGTATCACTGCCAAGTGAACACAATCAGTCTCAGCCAGGCTTTGAACTCGTCCCGTTGGTTCCATTTCCCAAGATGTTAACGTTTTTTCAATCACGTCTCCTAACCCACGTTCATGGTTTGTCAATTATAAATATAACCAGTGGGAATTGGGGCGAGAGTGATTTAGATTTCAAACAACAACTTAGTGCTTTTGTTTCTCAATACCAGCAGAGTGAGAAAAAAAAATTCAATTTTATTTCATTCGTAGACGAAACTAACAAGAAACAAACCTGATGAATAGAGCGCGAAGCTGAATTCGATCGGCAAGAACAGTGCGGATTTGTAAAGGACAGCTGAATAAGAAATACGATATTCATTATCAGAATAATATCAGAGAGATCAATACAAATGCAGAAGAATGTGCGCTTATCTTTTTATAGCAGGCATGAGCAACTTTTTCTGACCAGTGGGCCACATTAGATATGGCTCATCATACGGCGGACCATATTACTAAAAAGATTGAAGGTAAATTTTCGTTGAAGCTGTCTCATCTGTTTTCATCATACAAGACCATAAGCATCTGCCATAAAATTGATGAAAGGTTGATTGTTTTTGAAGAAATGATTTCTCAATAATTAAAAAAAAATATGAAGTCCCGGTCTAATTTTATCACAGATGACAGTGGTTAGCACACACTGTTGCATGTGATTTGTTTCTTATTTATTCATTTGAAAATAAAGGCTGTTCCAATAACTTGGACCGATTTTAAATGTGAATTAAGTTTAAGCGTCTAATGATATTTTTTCTTTTTCTTTTAGATTTAACAACTTAGGTCTTTGGCAATTTCAACCATGGAAAGATTAAAAATCAAACAACGTGTTAAAGTTTCAAGTGTGCAATTGGAGAAATTGTTCGTAAATTCAAACAAACTGGGTCGGTGGCATGCTCGTTTACGCCGTTCAGCTGAAAACATTGCTGCAGTGCACGAGAATGTGGCCGAAAATTCAGACACCTCTATTCGTCGTCGTGAGCAGGAATTGAACCTCTCCACAACAACATTACATCGTTTCCAGTTGCTCTCTTGGTTGGTCCATTATGTTGACCAAAAAAATCGCGAAATGCATTTTCGTAATAGGCTTCGATAACTTTTAACATGTTGTTTGATTGTTAATCTTTCCATGTTTGAAATTGACAATATATTTCTTCTCGAAAGAAAAAATATGTTTCTTCTGCAGAAAATATATTTCTTCTCCAGGCAAAAAAAATTATTAACGTTCTGTTTCTAAAGCAAATGATATATACACACATGGTCTTCCTTAGTGAAAATCACCAATCGTTTAAAATTATGAAAACTTTACCTTAAGCAAAGTTACAAAATTCAAGAAACGTTTATGTATTTGGTTATACATGACAAAATGTGAGTGTACAAATAATTTAATAAACCTTATTTTCCTCATGGAATTCGGCGTGCCACTCAGAAAGCGAAACGGACCACATGTGACCTGCGGGCCCCGCTTTACCCATGACTGTTACGCAAAAGGTACGGGACAAGGATCTATTTGAAAAACCACATCTATTTTGGAAAGATGTTAGAATAATCCAGCTTTTGACCGGGAGCAAATCGCCTGCATACGGATAGAACATAAATTGAATCTTACTTATTATAAAACGCAGATTGTGTGTGTGTGTGTGTGTGTGTGTGTGTGTGTGTGTGTGTGTGTGTGTGTGTGTGTGTGTGTGTGTGTGTGTGTTTATATATTGGATCGGATTTCCTACATTTTCAACCGATTTCAACAAAACTTCACAGGACTACGTAAAATTACCTTGCGGTGGTTCTGACAGCGCCCAAAATGGAAAAACACAATTGTTTTTGCACAAAATCAATCTGAAAACACGATTCTGTCGCCAGAATGAAAGGGGGACAACTCATATCGAGTTATACTTATTATAAAACCCAGGTTGTTTGTGTGTGTGTGTGTGTGTGTGTTCGTTTATATACGATTTTCAACCGATTTCAACAAAACTTCACTTTTTTTTTGGCAGGTAGTCTTTTTTATTGTCTTGCACACTTTTTTCTTTATTTTTACATTCAGAATGCTTTAAAAATTCCATTTACAAGACAATTGTTTATAATAAAATTCTATTCAATCGGTAGAATCATAACAATTGAAAACAATGTTTTTGTTTGAGTTTGACCAATTCGTAAAAAAAAAAAAAAAAAAAAAAAACTAATTAAGACATTTGTGTCCGTCAACCTTAAACAATAATCTTTGTCAATTTTATTTTTCAGTCTTTATGATGGCCAATACTTGATCTATATTTTACTGTTACATCCCCGGGCAATGCTGGGCTCTACTGCTGGTAACTATATAAAAATAGAAATGAGTGTAAGACAAGTATACGTCTTCTCATATTTATTCAACAGTGACACTATCTTAAGGGAACTGAAGACCCAACCACGATTTATTATCGGTGGGCGTAATCTTAACCGTATAAGATACGCAAGTGAAACCACTGAAGTATCTCCTAGACATTGTGGTAGAAGAAATAGAGAAAAAGGGATTAAAGATTAACTGTAAGAAGACAGAAAGTATGGTCATCTACAAGAGAAGAATCCCAAGATGCGAGTTGCGAATTGGAGATACAAACATCAATCAGGTGCAGAATATCTGGGAAATGTTTTAACAGAGGACGGAGAATCTGACACCGATGTCCGAACACGCATTGGATGAGCGAAAGAACAATTCCAAAGGCTAATCAAGGTGCTGAGAAACGGAAATATTTCATTAGAAACAAAGAGTGCTAGATTGCTATGTGATATCCATCCTCTTATATAGCAGTGAGTGCTGGAAAATTTCCGCACAGCTAGGGAAAAAAAAACTAGAGGCTGCAGAAATGTGGTCCTATAGAAGGATACTGAAAATTGCATGGGTGGAGTGAAGCGAATAAACAACAAGGAAGTCTTAAAGAAAATGGCAACAGAAAGAACACCTATACTCAGAATCAGGAAAAGACAACTGAAATTCCTTTAACACATAATTCGGAAATGGGACTTGGAAAACTTAACACTTACATGGCATATTGGGAGATAGGAGAAGACAGCGAGTTACTTAACTGACGATCATGTGTGAATAGATGGCACATCGGTGGGCGGTAGCTTTATCAAAAAACTTCTAAGAGCCACAAGAGATAGGAATTAGTAGAAAGCCATGATCGCCTGTATCTAGAAGAGTCCAGAAATCAAACATTCAGGCCTATCCATTGAATTGCTCGACTGCTTAAAATAGTGATATAATCAGAGCAGGTAAAATTTGCAGTTGGTTGAATGGGATTCTTTATTAAATCTTTTACTTGATCACGTTCACTGCAGCCAGGGCAGTAATTATTTTCGGGACTGGATCAATAATTCCGTAGCTTAAAACAATCATTAGTTGAATTTTTAATTTGATCATTGGAAAAGCACTAAGCGAATTGAAAGAAAGAGATCCGCTTAAAAAATATTACTTTACATTAGCCTGTTCACTTATTGATGCAA